CGTGTTCAAGTTCATTCTCAATTTTGTTTTGTTTTATGGTGGTAACAATAAATTTTATTTGTGTAGTTTAATTATATATGGGTGGGTGGGCATAATCACAAGATGCCAAATTTTAGTCACCCAATCGAACGACTTTAGGAGGTCGATTTAGCGTTAGATGGAGGTGAATTTTTTTTGTCTGTCTACTTTGAGAAAAATAAAAAACCGTTCTTCTTTCTTTTTCTTCGATTCTCCTTTTTTCTCCCAACCTCCTCTCTCTCCCACACCTAAAGTCGGTCTCACCGCCAGCGGTTCCATATTTTATAGACACGTCGCATTTTCTAATTGAGTCCTCACGCCCACATACAATTTAGGCTACACATAAATGTTTGATGACTTGAGCAGGCCTACAATCTCAAGTTATGCTTCAGTCTTGTTGATATCGACAGATCGAAACCACATATTATGGACCATCACATATATAAGTGTGGGTGGGTGGCACATACTAAAATGGATTCTTACTACTACAATGTGTGGTCAGGACTGGAACATGAAAACTTCACTCAACCAAACTCTTCTACATGATCATGTCTTTAGACTTTTTAGCACTTTACTCCTCCTCCTTTTTCTTCCAACTTCCAATCAACTCTTCTTCACCAATCCATAACAAATGTCTTTGTTACAACCTTTCATCTCTGAATCTTCTCTTTCAAAAACACTTCAATACCCTTTCTCACCATTTTCTCTTACAACAACAACAACAACAACAAAAAGAAGAACAAAATCAGTTATTTCTGTTAATAATAACTTGGGAGGACATAAACAACTAAGAAGAAAAAGAGTTATTCAATGTTGTGCAGTTGCAGAAATTGGTGGAGAAGTAACAAGTAATGAAGAAAAAGAAGATGATAATGTTATCTTGGACTCTAATGTTATTGATGAAGAAAAAGTAAAGGGAGAAAGTGAGATTGTTGAGTATGATTGGAAAGAAGAATGGTATCCACTTTATTTAACTCAAAATGTTCCGGATGATGCTCCTTTGGGTCTAACTGTTTTCGATAAGCAAATCGTCTTGTATCGAGATGGTAATGGTGATTTTCAATGTTACCAAGATCGGTGTCCTCACAGGTTAGATTTTAATATGTGTGCCTTGTTCAATTTTTGTGATTTTCTTCATCAAACTCCGATACAAATTGAATGGACACAATAAAAATTTGTTCAACCAACTTGAAATATTCTATTGTACAATCTTTTGACAGAGCAGAGTAGCAAAGTTGTTTGATTTTTTAGTCCCACAGCGTCCGGAAGATAATTCGATTTTAGTATTTCTAAAGTGAGATGAGAGTTAATAGCACGACCTTACTTGAACAGGATCTGTTCTATAGGGAAGTACCTCTGTATCCTTGAGTAAAAAGGAGACGGTAACCAAAACCTGGTCGATGAATCAGGACCGTGCGATCAGAGCGTGATTAATGGCTGGTGAACCATGTGATGGGTTCTCTGGCTGTAGAGGATCGTTCTCAGCTGCCCCTGTGGTTGGCTGAGATGGTCGTGCGGTTGTCTGACAGGTTCAAAACTTTTTAAATTTTTTACACTAATTGTTGCCGAAGTGGGAGCTCACTGTGTTGATAGGAAGAAGAAAGATGACTTTGTACTCACAGCTTTCACAACTTGATATGTAATTCTGTATAGACTATAGAGTTGTTTGATTAACGATTGATGGTATCTATCTTATGTCATAATTAAAATTGAATCAGATTGGCGAAATTATCTGAAGGTCAGTTGGTTGATGGGAGATTGGAATGTTTATACCATGGCTGGCAATTTGAAGGCAAGGGGAAATGCGTAAAGATACCTCAGGTCTGTCATGATTCACATCATTAGCATTTTTCCATCCTTGTCCATTTCATGCATTGGGTTCTAGTTCATTCATTGAAAACTATAATTGTTTATGCATCTATCTGTTCAAGTTGGTTCATCTGATGCCACCTTTAGTGGGCAGATGATCAGGTTTTGTAATCCTCTTTCATTTTTGTTTCATCAATAAAATTCTACTTATCAAAAAATGCATCTATCTGCCAACTTTATTGCTACAGCTTCCGGCTGGGGGACAAATTCCCCGAACTGCATGTGCCAAAACATATGAGGTGAAGGATTCTCAAGGAGTTATATGGGTATGGATGTCAGACAAAAATCCAGCAGACCCAGAGAAATTACCGTGGTTTGAAAATTTTGCCCGGCCGGGGTTTCAGGACGTCTCCACCACTCATGAACTTCCATATGATCATTCCATACTTCTGGAGAACCTCATGGATCCAGCTCATGTACCAATTTCACATGATAGAACAGATTGGTCTGCCAAGAGGGAAGATGCCCAAGCACTTCTATTTAAGGTAATCGAAAGATCAAACAGAGGATTTGCTGGCTTATGGGGTAGAGAAAAGGATCAAACCATGCCATTCTATCTACGTTTTGATGCCCCATGTGTCCTTCAAAACAACACCGAGATTGTTGACAAGAATGGTGAGAAACACTACTCCACAGGTCTCTTCCTTTGCAGACCCTCTGGACAAGGGAAGTCTATGCTCATTGTGAGGTTTGGAGGGACAAGAAGAAGTTCCCCCATAGCAAAGTTATTTCCCACATGGTACTTCCACCAAAATGCAGGTAAGGTTTTCGAGCAAGACATGGGATTCCTTTCGTCGCAAAATGAGATTCTAATGAAGGAGAAGGTTCCTACGAAGGAGTTGTACCTTAACCTAAGGTCGTCAGACACTTGGGTTGCAGAATACAGGAAGTGGATGGACAAAGTTGGACATGGAATGCCATATCATTTTGGACACAGCACAATTTCATTGCCCAAAGAACCAGCTGTGCTAGAACACGCGCCAGCCGGACTGGTTGCTGGAATCTCAGCATCCCTTCCGGCCAAGGGTGGAATAGGAACAATGCACACTCCTAATCTAGCCAACCGATACTTCCGTCATGTTGTTCATTGCAAGGAATGTAGAAGTGTTGTTAAAGCTTTCCAAGCTGGGAAAAATGCCTTCCTTTTCTTGGCTCTAGCTTCTGCCTCATTGGCCATTCTGGCCTCGGGACGACAGTGGAAGAGTTTTCTAGTTGTCTCATCAGCATTGTGCTTGGCTGGAATGTATGCATGCTCTAGTGCAATTGCATTGAACACAACAAACTTTGTCAGGCTGCACAGGAGACTGTAAACCCGAAGGAAAATAATTCTTACTTGGTTACTAGTGCATTTTGGAGGCCATATACAAATTAGATAGATATACAGTGTTCATAAGGCATAGTACAATTTTCAGCTCACAGAAACAAAACATTTTGCCTCTACTTCATCTGCTTTGTGTACTCTTTAAATGAAGAGTTGGAGCCTTTGTTTAAAAGAAACTGTTCGTGGTAACAGAGACGAACCTAATCCTATAACAGTCCCAGATTCATGCAAACACACACAATAGTGACAGTCCCAACTACTTTATCCTGAATATAAACCTACTACAATCCCTGATTGATGAATATATATGAGATAAACAACCATGAGTCCACTGCCCAGTAATGCCATATTGAAGCAAGCAGACCAATGACTGCCCCATCCAAGATGTTTAAAGGAAAAA